CACAAAAGACACGCTGTCACTCTTTTTCATGGCTGCATAGTATTCCATGGTATGTATGTACCACTTTTTCTTTATCCAATCTGTCATTGATGGGCATTTAGGTTGATTCCATGTCTTTACTATTGTATAGTGAGTGCTGCAATGAACATTCGCATGCATGTGTCTTTTTTTTTTTTTTTTTTTTTTTTTTTTTTTTTTTTTTTTTTTTTTGAGACGGAGTCTCGCTCTGTCTCCCAGGCTGGAGTGCAGTGGCTGGATCTCAGCTCACTGCAGGCTCTGCCTCCCGGGTTTACGCCATTCTCCTGCCTCAGCCTCCCAAGTAGCTGGGACTGCAGGCGCCTGCCACCTCGCCTGGCTAGTTTTTTTTTTTTTTTTTAGTCGAGACGGGGTTTCACCGTGTTAGCCAGGATGGTCTCGATCTCCTGACCTCGTGATCCTCCCGTCTTGGCCTCCCAAAGCGCTGGGATTACAGGCTTGAGCCACTGCGCCTAGCCACATGTGTCTTTATGGTAGAATGATTTATATTCTTTCGGGTATATAACCAGTAATGGGATTGCTGGGTTGAATGGTAGTTCTGTTTTTAGCTCTTTGAGGAATTGCCATACTGATTTCCACAATGGTTGAACTAATTTACACTCCCACCAACAGCATGTAAGCGTTCCCTTTTCTCTGCAACCTTGCCAGCATCTGTTATTTTTTGACTTTTTTTTTTTTTTTGAGACGGAGTCTCGCTCTGTCTCCCAGGCTGGAGTGCAGTGGCTGGATCTCAGCTCACTGCAAGCTCCACCTCCTGGGTTTACGCCATTCTCCTGCCTCAGCCTCCCGAGTAACTGGGACTACAGGTGCCCGCCACCTCGCCTGGCTAGTTTTTTGTATTTTTTAGTAGAGATGGGGTTTCACCGTGTTCGCCAGGATGGTCTCGATCTCCTGACCTCGTGATCCGCCCGTCTCGGCCTCCCGAAGTGCTGGGATTACAGAGTTGAGCCACCGCTCCCAGCTGACTTTTTAGTAATAGCCATTGATTTGTGTGAGATGGTATGTCACTGCCGTTTTGACGTGTTTCTCTAAGGATCAGTGATACTGAGCTTTTCTTCATATGCCTGTTTGTCTAGCATTTTGAATAGCTTTCCCCCATTTAGAAAATATAGATTCTCTGAATTACTTGGGTTTTCCAAATATTAACCCATTTCAGTACAAAATATTTTTAATCACATTTTTAATATCACTACCTATCTCATCAGAAAAGTCTTTAAGTATTGGGGCCAAGTTTGGTGGCTCACACCTGTAACCCCAGCACTTTGGTAAACTGAGGCAGGAGGATAGCTTGAGGCCAGGAGTTCAAGGCTGCAGTGAGCTGTGATCACACTGCTACACTCCAGCATGGGCACCAGAGCAAGACCCTGTCTCTAAAAAAAAAAAGTCTTTAAATATTGGAAAACTATCAGTCATGGAGGATTTTGAAATTCTAGTTTTCACTAAACACTCAAATTTTATCATTGGCAAAAAATAGTTGTTTTTCTGGAAGTAATAGGTTACTTATTATAACGTGCCAAATTGCTGAGTCTGCAAAGCCATATTGAATATCATCATTCCTTCATATCAAAATGTTACTCCTTGAAAAGATCCTTACGGCTTCTATTGCTTCATAGCTTCTGCTTATAGTGTTCTGGGTATCCATCAGCTTTGCTGCCACCCTACAGCCTCTCAGTGTGCCTCACATTTAGATACCTCCAGAGAGAATCTGATTGGATTCTCCAGCCATTATCTAATATAGGGATGCATGGCAACCAGTGCATAAGGAACCACTTGTGGCTACTTACTCAGAGGATACTTCAGATCTAGGAGACAGTCAGAGTACCATGTCCAGAATGTATACCATGATGAATTAGCAAGATGTAGTTTTCAATACATGGATGCAAAGTGATTATGGTATGAGAATTTTTTAATCTCAGATTTTGTAATTTGTTTTTACAAAGCACCCATTTGACAGCACCTTGTTTAAAGACCAAAAAAAAGCATGTCCTTAAAACTGTAGTCACATTCTTGGTGCTCCCTTCACTTTGTTTGGGTATTAATACTACTCTGAGACTGCCGTGGGACCACCTGTTCCAAAAATATTCTTTGATGTGGATTGAGTAGTTTTTACTGTGAGTGTTCTACCAAGATAAATATAGAATTTATTGCCTTTCACAGTAATAATAAGATAACATTGTTAAAGAAGGTTTCGGCCAGGCATGGCAGCTCATGCCTGTAATCCCAGCACTTTGAGAGGTCGAGCAAGGTGGATCACGAGGTCAGGGGTTCAAGACCAGCCTGACCAACATGGTGAAACCCCATCTCTACTAAAAATACAAAATTAGCCGGGCGTGGTGGCACACACCTGTAATCCCAGTACTCAGGAGGCTGAGGCAGGAGAATCACTTGAAACGGGGAGGGCTCACTTGCAGTGAGCCGACATCATGCCATTGTACTCCAGCCTAGGTGACAGAACAAGACTCTGTCTCAAAAAAAAAAAAAAAAAAAAAAAAAACAGATTTCTTTGGTTGACTAACAATTTTTCATTGTTCTAATGGGTGTCTTCCTCCTTCACAAGGGAGGAAGATCCTCCAAAGTTTCTGTGAGTATAATCTTATAACTGGTGTTTTTGTTAAGAAATAATTAGGAGTCACCAGGCACTCCATTGTTTAAGTTCACAAATTTTAAACATTTTTTTTTTAAGATTTACTTCCTCATTTTGGTAGGTACAGAAGGCTAAAAAGTGTATTTCTGCCATCTTAGGGGGATAGAAGGTTTGGCAACTCTCTCTCCTTTGAAGGTCCTGGAATCATTTATTATAATATATATACCATTTAGTATACATGTTGGCTGTCTGAATGAGAACATACCCATGAGCATGTACATGTGCTTACAAACATGTTCATTCATTTAGTAAAATTAAGAATGGAAGCAGGCTGTTTTTAGAAAAAAATATTTGAGGACTGAGTTCCCTCTTTCATTCATCCCATGAGGGTATTACTAGGGGATTTAATATATTTGGGTTAATGATGAGGGGAAAAAAATAGCATCTTTTTGGGGAAATAGAACCAGACACAATTTAAAGTGGGACCCAAATCGAAACATAATTCTTTTATGAAACGAATATTTTATTTTGTTTGTCACATGGATGCCATCTGAATTTTAAAAGAAATCTAGGCTTCCTCTTATCCTTTATGGTTTTTTTTAAAGCAAGAAGTCAGAGACTTTGTACATCTTGATTTAACTCTTATGTTTGAGCCATGTGTCACAAGTAATTAAATTATAAATATTCTAAGGAGTAATTCGTGCACACTCTAACACTCTAAGGGCTTTTTAAATTTTACACAGCTTACCTTTCTTTCTGAAGAAAGTCCTCACAAAGATAGATTATATCAGTTTCTCCATTGATGATGTATTCCAGCAATAAGCATAGTCCTAGAATTGTAGAATGTGCACTGCTGCACTCTGTCCTGACAGACAGTAGACAAGGTTTATAATTTTTTTCTATGGGGCACTAAAAATACCCTAGTATTTCCTTTAACTTTTTGCACTGACAGGTCTAAAGCAAAGCCACAGAAGCTGCTTTTGCTCAGTAAGTATTGTTAATGCTGCAGTGCATATTAAAATTTCAGAAAACCCAATTATATACTGTCTAGGTGTGGATAGCTCTCATTGTTAGTATCCTAAATCATCTAAAGGCTTGTTTTCTTTCTTTTTTTTTTTTTTTACAGACCTAACTACCATAATGAATGCTGCATATTAAGAGAAACCACAAGAAGGTTATATGTTTGGTTGTCTAATATTCTTGGATTTGATATGAACCAACACATAGTCCTTGTTGTCATTGACAGAACCCCAGTTTGTATGTACATTATTCATATTCCTCTCTGTTGTGTTTTGGGGGGAAAAGACATTTTAGCCTTTTTTAAAAGTTACTGATTTAATTTCATGTTATTTGGTTGCATGAGGTTGCCCTTAACCACTAAGGATTATCAAGATTTTTGCGCAGACTTATACATGTCTAGGATCCTTTTATCAAGGCAGTTATGATCATCATTTTCCTGCCTTGACCCCACCATCACCAAACACTCAGTTAAATATAAATTAACATTTTTTAGATGACCACTCAACATAATGCTTGAGAATGGAATTTCCTCTCTTTGACAGACCCAGGAATTAATTCCTAAATACATAATGTTGGTATATTGAAGACGAAATTAAAATTGTCCTTCAGTTTTGAGGCCATGTGTAAAGTTTAACCATATTGTAAAATATCTATTCCGTATTAGAAATAGCTAGTTGACAGCTTATACTTCTCAAAATTCATATTGTTATGTACACAAACTAAGTTTCTATATGTGAAGTTAGTGAGTCTTTTTGTGTTACTCCAAAATAAAGGCAATGATTTATTTTTTCCCAGTGCCAATACAATTTTGAGCTAAGCACTCAAGGTGGATACTTCACATTTTAAAGCTGGAATCAGCAATAGCCCTATGGGAAACCAGACAAAACATTGACTTTTAAATGTAGACTTTTAAAATAAACTGTTTTCTTTTGGAACTACAATTAGAATAGTTAATATTCATCCATAAACCATTATTATGTGTACATTATTGTTGCTATTGTGATAATAGAGAATTTTATTTATTTTTATGCCAGCTTATATTGTGAGAACACATTTAGTCAGTTTGGGTTTTATCAATCCTGTTAATGCTTGTCCTTGGAACATCTTTCGCGTATTCAAGGTTTGTAGTTGAAAAGTTTACTGTAAAAAAATCAAAAACAAAAAAATGTATTGTTTTTACAGAATAAATTTATTGGAATGTGTACTGGGAGTAAGATTTGAGGTTGTAAGCAAACTAAGTTAGTGTAATTTGGCTTCATATATGTAATGTGAGGTATTAATGTAATTCATATATTAAAGCAAAAATTGTTCACAGCAAGCTGACAATAGAATCAAGTGCAGGTGAGGGTTTTTTCTTTCTTTTTTTTTTTAAACACTCGCTGGATTTTAGATTATTTGAAAACACTGTAGGGGATGAAGGGGAGATGACTACATGATTTGCTTACACATGCATATTTACCAGCCCTGTGGACCCTAGATTTTGTAACTTGATATTATCCATACATTGATTTGTATCCCATTTTCTTTTGGTTTTCTTTGTGAGAGCTAATAAAAACATGAGAAAATGTGAGCAGACCTAAAAGCCTAGGGCCATTAATGATGATGATGATGATGATGGCAGCTAAGGGTATGAAAGCACCAGTCCATTGATCATTCCAGGGCACAGTGAGGAGGTGGCTGTTTGTATTTTTGGTGTGTTTCTTTCATTTAGTAAATACTGATTTTCTCTAGTATATTCAACATACAATCCCAAACATGGAAAGTTCATAAAAAGATAGTAGGGATGTCAATCTAATACTTTTTCTTTAAAAGATACTTTTTAATTTTGAATATTTGAATGTATTTTTAAATTAATGAAATTTAATTAATTCATCAAAAGGCCTCTTCATTGCTCACACTGAAACATAAGGGGAATGTAGATGACGTTTTGAATTGGAATATACAACTCACAAATTTTGTTTAAAAGCAATTTTATGTGTATATATGAAATGTTTCAAATTTAATAAGATTTGTCTTCATAAGAGGCCAAAAATAATTTTATTAAAAATATACACAGAAATACAATAGAAATATTTTCAGCCACCACTAAAACAAGTGTTCATTAAGGGTAGAGATAGTTATTGATCCCTATTTAGCTATTTAAACTCACACACAAAAATTTAGTAAAAGTAATTTTCTCAAAACAGCAGCAAATAATGAACTTTCCTTGGGAAAACATTTTTCAAACAACATTTACAAATATTCTCATGATTTGCCTTTTATATTGAAGTTAATAATGAAGCATATTCATCTTATTTGCAAAAGTTATTTCTCCAGTCTGCATTCACTGTTTTGAATTTTTTAATATGCACAGGCCATATTCTCTATATTCTCTTTTGAATAATTTCATGCTCACTACTGTTGACACTAAATTGTAATTTTTTACACCTATAATTATTTCATATGTCAAACAGAATATTGAGATGGATGATAAAGTTTATTCACAAATGATTTTGAATATATTTCTTTAAACAGACTTTCTCAAGAATTTCCATTTTCCTTCAAAAATTTACACAGTACCATATAGCTCACACATACAGTGCAGAGCAAGAATGTACATATTCTTAAGTATTCATGTATGAGAAGAGAATGAAATGGGACATAATATCAGTACCAGTATAACAAAAGTTAGTAATTTAGAAAGGAACATGAAGTAATATTTTTATTCCACTTTTTCTTCTGCCTTTGTTTTTATGAAGAACTCTGGTTTGTAGATACAACGATAGACCAAGAGCTGAGGAAGAACTCCATATGCTATGTTTAATGCTAAAAAAAGGATTTTTGCTTCTTCGGGGACTCTGTAGACATAAGCAGTTCTAGCATGAAGAGAAGCACCAATGTGAGAAAACTGAGCCTGTTGCATAAAAAAAAAAAAAATGGGGTAAGCATGAAACATGTTCAGTTGGATGCACGATGAGTTCTGAATGGTTCATTCAGGCTACGTTTCTGTGCCCTCAAAACCAGTCTCACCTGCAGGCAAAATACCTTCAAACAATCCAGAGTCTTTAATGTGAGAGTCTTTCATTAAATTTAGTCTTTGATTAAATTTAGGGCCATTCTTGATATGACTGTTCAAATAAAGTAGATATTATTTCGTGTAGTTTTATCATGCCAGTTGTGTTTTTAACCATCAAGTGCCCTTTACCAAACATTAGTGGCTCAATCTAATAGAAAAATCTGAATAAAATCTCAATTTTTTTTTCTGATTTGCATTCTGGAGATCCTACATAGAGACTCAGTTGTGGTTCACAAATTGAGTTCCAATAAAAATGAGGAAAGTGCAGAGTTTTTAAAAACTAAAATATTTTTAGCATAACAAACTATTGAAAGGGAAGCACTGGGGGGACCTCAGCTTCATTTATCAGTCTTTCATCTACACCTTGGAGCAAGAGCTTCTGCCCTTTCCCTATGTGTTTTTTGTTTATTCATTTATTCATGTATTTGTTTTTTCTGCAGCTTTTAAAATATTAAGGGTTGTTTGTAAGATAAGTTCGTTACCAATTTGGGTGGAGGTAGGAGTACAGTTGCTCTTTGTAAAATGGCAAATGTACATGCAGGCAACCTTTTTAAATCAAATTATAATTTATTTGGAAGTATGACTTGTCAGCATTATCTGCATTTGCAAAATGGCCTCCCTCTCTACTTATATACTTGTTCAGAAAACACATTCAGAATGTGCCAACTGGTCTTTTTTGATATTTTTTGCAAGCACAGAGGAAAACCGTATTGGAAAGGGTAAAACAGACCACAGCAGGATTAAAAGCTCCTGTCAGAAAATTTCCTCAGAAGGCTTGTATCATTACAAAATGTACCCCTGGAGTCTGCATTTTCATATCTTGCTGAAATTCAAGATATACATGAATAAAGGATTGGGAATCTAAATGTATTAAGTAGTAAATTATCAGTTCATCAGGATCAAAGAGACAAAAGACTGCACTATAGAGAAGGCATAGAAGTAACAAGAATGAAGAATTAAATAATTTGCTTTAAATACATATAAGTTATTTTATATTTCTTTCCATATGAAACCAATGTATTCTGCTGAGTGATTCACAGATAAAGGTGTTTACTCATCACTTGACTTCACCATGGCAAGAAAAGGACAAGTTTTTTAAGTAGCATCTTTATGAATTTTTTATCAGTGGCAAATATTTTAATGGGCTGCATTTTTACAAATTCCTGGTATATTCTGGAGACCTGTGGTACATGTTTGCTACTCTGGAAATAGAAATTAGCATGATGTATTGCCAAGGACCAACACGTGGATTGTCTACATTGTGATCCATGAGGCACCGAGAGGACTCGGCCCTCAGATACACCTCCCCTGGGTAGATGCCCAGGCAGAACCCAGCAAATGTATTTGCATCTCCGGGCTCCAAGGACAAAAAACCTTGAGAGTAAAGGGCACTTTCAGGGCTGCCCTGAGGAGGTGCATTCTGGACATTCTAGGAACTCTGAGCAGGAACATGGCTCCCGTACTATTTTTCCTTAGGGCCTGTTTTGAATAATAGTGTTTTTCTGAATATATAACCAAGCATTTTCTTCTGGACTAGAAGCCAAATTTGATCCCTGGTTTTCAGAAATGTGGGTTTGGTGGTTCTGTCTTCATAGATACTTATACACATCACAAAATCACCAAATTTGGGAAAATGCCAACCATACTTTAAGAGAATAAAGATGAGCAGTTGTGCCTACTTGCATAGGGAAGCCTGCATAAAAAGTCAGTGATTCCTTAGGCTCTTTTCCTGCACTAACCAGTGCAGTTAATACCTCATTTTCATGAACAGCAAACTCATGGCAACATTAAATGAATCATGGCCGGGCACAGTGGCTCATGCCTATAATCCCAGCACTCTTGGAGGCCGAGGCGGGTGGATCACCTGAGGTCAGGAGTTCAGGACCACCCTGGCCAACATAGTGAAACCCCATCTCTACTAAAAATAAAAAAAATTCTCCGGGCGTGGTGGTGGGCGCCTGTAATCTCAGCTACTCGGGAGGCTGAGGCAGGAAAATTGCTTGAACCTGGGAGTGGAGGTTGCATTGAGCCAAGATTGCACCATTGCACTCCAGCCTGGGTGACAGAGCAAGACTCTGTCTTCAAAAAAAAAAAAAAAGATTCATGTCCTTAGATTGTAAGCCCACTGGGCAGGTACTGTGTCTAATGTTTTGTGTGGCACCTATCACATTATTAGAGCTCAATAAACGTTCAACAACAATGGACTTGTGACTGTCAAAATACAAAAAGGGTCTACAAAGCTTTTCTCTATTTTTGTATGTATTTTAGTAGGCCTCTTTATTCAGAATTAAGGCACAAAAATTTTAACATTCATAATCAAAAGAGGCATTTGTATGTGAGAGAACTCTAAGGCCAGTTGTGTGCAGCTCCCAGTACTGCTCATAGTCCTAATGGATGTACTTATGGTAGCCACACTTCTAGCTGAGTGAGTACCTGACCATAGCTTTCTCCTAAGGCATAGGATGTTAAGTGTTCAGGAGAAGTTCAGAAAAACCTCAGTCTCACCTGAGGAGGTTTCTCTTCCCAAGCACATAGCTAATAAGGGACTGCAGGTTGTCTCCTGGGTGTTGTTCCCAGCAGCACGAGACCTCTCCATGTCAGGACCTGAAGAGCTCAGCCTGAGCCTGTGCTGGGGTCAGGTGGCTCAGTGAACTCAGTGCTGCTGAATTAACAGGAGGCCCAGGATTACAGATATGAATTGTTGATCCTAGAAATTTATCCAGAATTTAGCAATGTGAGGTTGAGTCCCTAATAATTTTTCTCTACTTTATTCTAAAAATCATTTTCACCTTACAGAAATAATTAAGAGATATATCTGATTTTTTTTTAAAGGATGGAGTGGCAAATGAGACAATAAGGTGAACAAAGGTTAAATTTTAAGAGCTGTTTTCTTACATGTATAGCGACAGTCTGTAAAGGATAACTTAAAAAGTTAATGCTTTTTCCAGAAAGAAGAACTGAAAGAGTGTTATATGTCCATGTGAATGTTATAGGCAGAAAACTTAGGTGACCATTGGGATGACAGCCAGGGTCTTTTGCTAATACAGTATAAATAGCTAATCCAGAACTGTATTATCTTTTCTTAGAGTTTTCTGAGCAACATAGTTTATTGGTTCACAACACTGACTTTGGAACTAGACATCCAGAGTCAAATCACAACTCCACTACAAACCAGCCGTATGGCCTTGGGTGAGGTATGGAACCCACCTCATCGGTTGTTTTGAGGGTTCAGTGAATTGATGTTTGTGATATGCTTAGACAGTGCCAAGCACTTGGGGCTATTCTGTAGACACAAATACAAAACTGAAATACCCATTCATGATCTGGTGCTTGACTCTGTAGAAAACCTGGGCCTTTGTTTTTAGATCCTCTTGACCTTTTGACCTTTTTACTGTTAAGTGTCTCCATGAAAGGATAAGCACATAAAGATATTAAATCCAGTATTAATTTAATACTAAATAAAGATGTTTAGCAATGAATCACACCAGAAGCAAATGAAGAAAACAAGATTTGCATTAGTATCCCAACTTAGCCGTGTTCTTCCTAAACCTTTACTTTCAGATTTTTCTTAACGTCTCCATGAGGGAAAAACCATATGAAATTTACTTCCAGGCTGAGCATGGTGGCTCATACCTATAATCCCAGCACTTTGGGAGGCCAAGGCAGGAGGGTCACTTGAGTCCAGAAGTTTGAGACCAACCTGGGCAACATAGCAAGACCCTGTCTCAATTTAAAAAAAATAAATAAAAGAAATTTACTTCAGTAGAGTTAACTCTTCACAACCAAATTATTCACACATAAGCTTCCATATCTCTTTGTGAGAAAAAGACATGGCATAGCACCTACATAACCAGGGAGTTAGAGAGTCTGAGGGCCGCACCTGACTGAAGTAACTGAACCTGCTTTGCTGGCTATGGGATGGCAGGCTCCTTACCAAGCCCATGGTGAATCTGTCCCAAAGCTTTCCCCCAGTTTCTTTGTTTTCTTGATAATTATATACAATACACATAATTTAATTAGTTTGTCTAATTTGTAACAGGTTACAACATAAGGCATTTCTCCAAACTCTTACTGGGAATCTTCTACTAGTAATAATAGCAACAAAGAGTTTACATAGCTGTTATGTGCCAGGCACTGTTTTAAGCCCTTTACATATATTACCTCATCCAGCCCTCACAGCAATTCCATGAGAAAGCTACCGTTATTATCCGCACTTTACAGAAGAGGAAACTGAGGATCAGAGAGGTAAAGTAGCCAAGGTCATTGTGCTCATCAGCAACAGGCTAGAGTCTGAACCAGTCCACCTCCAGTGCTTATGCTTCTAACTATATGAACTCTACTGGCTCTGACTTTTTTTCATTTTCATTGATATTTTAGCAGAGAAAATGCTTCAACTGAGGAAATGCTAATAAGTGGATCTAAGCAGCCTCTAATGCCTTTCAGATTACACTTGCAGCTTTAATCCTATAGTTAGCATTTTATATGAAAAGATGTCTGGGTTATGAGTAAGTCCCCAGTGGAACTCTTTGGTCTAAAATGTGTCCTGGTTTCATTTTATTCAATCTTCTTTTACTCTTTCCTTGATCTTTTGATTTCTTAAGGCAGCAGATTTGGCAGACTCCTACATGGTCTGAAATCAAGGCCCCAGTAACTACTCACTCTTACTTTTTTTTGATACAGTCTCGCTCTGTCACCCAGGCTGGAGTGCAGTGGTGTGATCTCGGCTCACTGCAACCTCCACCTTGCGGGTTCAAGCGATTCTCCTGCCTCAGCCTCCCAAGTAGCTGGGATTATAGATGCCCACCACCACGCCCAGCTAATTTTTTGTATTTTTAGTAGAGATGGGGTTTTGTCATGTTGGCCAGGCTGGTCTCAAACTCCTGATCTCAGGTAATCCACCTGCTTCGTCCTCCCAAAGTGCTGGGATTATAGGTGTGAGCCACCATGCCCAGCTACTACTCAATATTTCTTGCATTGGCCTATACTGATCAAGAATGAATTCAAAGGTGTGTTTTTTTCCTTATTAAGTTGCATAGATTCTTGAGAGTTTACTAGATGTTTCAATAAAAGTAAGTTTTAGTAAAGTTAGTGGGATCATGAATGCATAAGGCTTCTAAATAAGAATGGCAATTTTAGCAAGCAAAGATGCTGATTAAAGTTACAGAAAAATGCTTTTTTTTTCTTTTTTTTTTTTTTTTTTTTTTTGGTAGTGGTGGAGAGACAGGGTCTCTCTCTGTCGCCGCCCAGGCTGGAGAGTGCAGTGATGCAATCTTGGCTCACTGCAACCTCTGCTGCCTGGATTCAAGCGATCCTCCCACCTCAGCCTTCCTATTAGCTGGGACTACAAGCACATGCCATCATGCCAGCCTAATTTTTGTATTTTTTTGTAGAGACGGGGTTTTACCATGTTACCCAGGCTGGTTTCAAACTCCTGACTTCAAGCAATCCACCCACCTTGGGCTCCCAAAGTGCTGGGATTACAGGCGTGAGCCACCATGCCTGGCTGGAGAGTGCTTTCTGTGATGAATGTGTAAGGTACTCCCATAAGATGAGACTCCATTTCATAAGCACGTACTTTTGCTAAGTGAAAAACAAATCACATAACTAATTCATTATTCTGGTCGTATACATTGTTTTGTTGCAGCATGGTTTCTAACTTTTCCTTAGTCTACACACTATAAGTAGGTAGATATTAAAGCCCAGCCAAGAGCTATGGGAATTAGCCCCATAATTCTTTACTCAATCTATCTTCACCTGCTGGGCTGGGAGACACATCCTGACATTTACAGGATCTGGTCCTTAGCCTTAGGCTCTGGATCTGGGTATTCACCATCAAGAGGGGCTTCAGGCTGCCTTAACAAACTGGGCAGTGATGGATAAGCCCCAGGATGCCTGATGTCTGACATGAATGGGGTAATGCCCCTGCAGCTGCTAGCTGCTCTGTAGTCCACACTGCCCTTCTCAGAACCACTTGGCTGGAGTAATAAGTGCCCATCTGCAAGCTTAGCTTCACCAACAAATTAGGGTTTGTCTTACTGCTACAGGCTCACCACACCCATTTTCCTCCAAGCTATGACCTTCCTAAGCTTCCTGACTCTTGACCCTGGCCATGTGACTAGGCTTTTGTCTAGGTTTTCCTGCTGTTTCCATTTGTCTCCTGAGACTTAACCAGGTCCAACATCTGGTCTCTTTAACCAGCCTGCTGGCTGATGACACTTACTGTTCCTGCCTCAGGGACTGGTACCAGGCTGACCAAGGCACATGGCAGGTAGAGGAGGCCTGATTGTGCAGGCAAAACACAAGGTGATAGGTGTCAAACAGAACAGCTGTCAAACTGAACAGTCTAATCCTCTAAAGAAAGGGCTGGCAAGAGTGAAGTGGGTATGCGGCCATCTGTCCTGAAGGATACAGGAGAATAAGGCAGGGGAACCAGGCCAAAAAAAAGCCAAGACTTACTCTGCCATCAGACCTGCTGCATATGCCCACACCTCAGTGTTTCCCTGGGTTATTCCCTGGAGAGGCTCAGCCTAATAAAGCCCCATTTGGTCCTCAGAGTCCAACTCAGAATGTCACTGCCTTCCACCCACAAGGTTCTCCAACACCTCATACTACGTACAGTCTTTTGTGCTGTAGGACTCTGTGCCATAGTTCATTGTTTGCATAGGGTGGGCGAGATAACACAATAAAGAAGAATATGAGGTTTGGAGTCAGACAGGATTTCATAACCCTATTCTGCCATTTAATAATTCTGTAATCTAAGGCAAATAATTTCAGGTGTCCTGAGCCTCCGCTTCCTCATCTTTATATTGGGATTTTTTTTCAAAGCTATTACAAAAGATAATATGATGTGTCCATTGTGCTGTTTATTATGAGGCAGGCAGGAAGACCACAGTAACCAGCCTCCCCTGCAGTTGACCTGGTGCCAGGCCTGGACCCTGAAAATATCCCACATGATCTTTTCATAAACAGGAAATGAAATTTTACTGTGTTAAGCTACACTGAGTATTTGTTACAGCAGCAGAGCACATAGCCTATCCTTAGACAAATAGGTAAGTAAAACTTTTAACGTGGTTTGCCTGGCACGAAGTAAGGTGATGAGAGCTCAGACTAGTGTAGGGGCAGCGGAACTGGAAAAAAAAAATGGATTGGAGAATCACTGGAGTAAAACTAACTGGACCTGGTTGAGTGTGGTGGCTCACACCTGTAATCCCACCACTTTGAGAGGCTGAGGCAGGAGGATTACTTGAAGCAGGCATTTGAGAATAACCTGGGCAACAAAATAAGATCCCGTCTCTTAAAAAAATTTTAAAATTAGCTGTGTGCAGTGGTCTATGTCTGTAGTCCCAGCTACTCTGGAGACTGAGGCAGGAGGATTGCTTGAGCCTAGGAGTCTGAGACTGCGGTGAGCTATGACTATGCCATCACACTCCAGCCTGGGAGATGGAGCAAGACCCTGTCTCTTTTTAAAAAAAAAAAAAAAAAAAAACCGGACTTAGTGGTGGTCTAGATGTAGAGGATGAGGAGTGTAAATAATTACTCCAAGTTTCTGGCTTGAGTTGCTGGATGCAATTGGGCTATTTACACAGATAATGAAAAAAATGGAAGAGAAGTTGTGGGGAGGATCAGGTCCTATTTTATATATTAAATCTGAGGTGCTAGTGAGACATGCAAGTAAAAAGACTTGAGTTTGGAATACAGGAGTCTGGGAACAGTTTGGGCTGAAGGTAGAAAATTGGAAGTCATTAGCTTATAGTTGGTATTGAAGATACAAAGATAAAGACCTAAAATATACAAATAAAGCCCAAGGACTGAGGAATTCAGGATTTAGAGGTCTGCAAAGGAAAAACAACCAGCAAAGAGCAATAAATGTTAGTTCTCTTCCTCCTTAAGCCCCTCGAGGAAAGGACAGGAACCATTGCTTCTGGATGCTACATCAATTTTTTTGATATTACTATGCTAATTTTGTTTTTTTTTGTTTTTTTTTTTGTTTTGTTTTGTTTTTGAGACGGAGTCTTGCTCTGTAGCCCAGGCTGGAGTGCAGTGGCCGGATCTCAGCTCATTGCAAGCTCCGCCTCCCGGGTTTACGCCATTCTCCTGCCTCAGCCTCCCGAGTAGCTGGGACTACAGGCGCCCGCCACCTCGCCCGGCTAGTTTTTTTTGTATTTTTAGTAGAGACGGGGTTTCACCGTGTTAGCCAGGATGGTCTCGATCTCCTGACCTCGTGATCCGCCCGTCTCAGCCTCCCAAAGTGCTGGGATTACAGGCTTGAGCCACCGCGCCCGGCCGCTAATTTTGTAATTAAGAATTACCCCAAACTGAAAGGATTTAATGCATTGACCCCTTAAATACTATATTACTCAACCCTGTGAATTCTAGTATGTCTTGCAATCGTAGTTATTATACCATGCATATAATTGACTGTACAAGCCTACAGTTTCTGGATGAACCTCATTTCAGTTTGAATGATTGTCTTCCTGAATAGGAAATTACAGCATACATCTAAAAATTCTCTTTTCTTCATTAGTAATCTCAAAAACATAATTCCTTTATGTACGTTTTTTGGTTTCCTATAGCATTCTTATAACTGCTTGAAAAGAACAAGACGGAGCTAAAGTTTTTAAACGATAAGTTCATTTGTTTTATTTCTAGTAAGAAAAAACAATGAAATTAATTTTCTTCCTTGTTCAGATTGATTTGTTTTGCTAATTATCTTGTAAAAATGTGCTTTATGTTATATATGAAGTTCTCCTTCGATAATTTCATTTTCAGTCAAATGCAGTAAGCATTCACTGAACACCTACTCTAGGCCAAATATTTGGCAAGGTGCCAGTGGAAAAGGAATCAACTGATAGGCCCAGAACATTTTTTAAACCACTTTCCCTGGTTCTGTATAACATAGTGTAGTGGAATTCTGAAGTCTTACATTTGGATGGACATTTTGAAGGTAACAGCTCTCAATCTTTTTTTAGTAGCCATGGTATTCAGAGATTGTGAAACAATCCTATAAAACAATGCCGCATGCCGGGTGTGTAACCTTGGGCAAATCATTTAACTTCACTGGACCTTGGTTTCCTCATCTGTGTAACTGGGTTGGCATATCTACCATATAGTTATTGTGAGATTTAAATAAAACGTACTTGCAGAAATGTCTTCCGAAAAACTGCAAAACCAAAGGTGACATGTCTAATAGCTATCTCCTACTCTAAAACACTGAGGAGAGAAGTTTTTCATGTATTCAACAATGACACCTAGACCACAAGTAAACCTTCTCAACAGAATATTCTTAGTACCTGAGCCAGACCTCCAGCATGTATCAATGTGATGTCAGGCATCCAGGAACATCCAGGAACCACTAAGCCATACAGTGCAGTCACAAAGTAAGGAACAGAATAGAACATATATGCCAGCATCTGTATAGAACAGAGAAATAATATCAGCAAATCAGCAGTTAACTTGGCCTAAAAAGTACAAAAAAATAAACATTTTCATCTTTGAAAATATTAATTCCTATTTCCTATATGGGACCCATTTTTTTTACTTTTATTATTTTTTTTAATTTATTTGTATGTCTTTATTTTGAGATGGAGTCTTGCTCTGTCCCCCAGGCTGGGGTGCAGTGGCGCGATCTCAGCTCACTGCAACCTCCACCTCCCTGCAACCTCCACCTCCCAGGTTCAAGCAATTATCCTGCCTCAGCCTCCTGAGTAGCTGGGATTACAGGCATGTGCCACCATGCCCGGATAGTTGTTTGTATTTTTTCAGTAGAGATGGGATTTCACCGTGCTGGCCAGGCTGGTTTCAAACTCCTGACCACATGGTCAACCTGCCTCAGCCTCCCAAAGTGCTGGGATTACAGGCATGAGCCACCGCACCCAGCTGGAACCCATTTTTTAAAAGAAAATTAATGTTAGAAAAATTTTAGGCCTCATAACTACTTGACCTGAATTTTAGGATAAGCAGCAGGATCCTTTAGATAGGGCTCTTGAAATTGCGTATATAATCGGCAGAGCTCAGATGGGCAATCCAAAGCAATCTAAGAACAAAAATAAACTCATTATAAAAATACAATCACATCTGGTTCTTAGGTTTGCTGATAAGGCTAAATGTGCCAGGTTTAGTCACAAGCTGCTTTGCTATTTAACAAAATGTATGCATTGTAGAGACTCATCAATGATGGAAATATTTTACACATTTGTTCTAAGGAGATTAAGCAAAGGTTAACTATGGTGCAGGAAATGGTAACTAATGCCCTATTCTTGGGTACCTTTCAGATATTCAGAGTTTTAAGTATCTAGGTTTGGCTAGCCAAAGCACAGCTTGCTAAGTTATGAGTTTCACTTTTCCTGGAAATAACTAGCCCGCTATTCCCTACAGGAAGAAAAGTATATTTCTACACCAAATTCATCTTACTATGCATTGCAAGATTTGAAAATAGCACCTCCTGTCTCTAGTGCCTCATAGAGTATATAGCCTTTGGAGGCAGTAAAAGATAATGATTTGAAAGCAGCATCCTCTTGCCTGAAAGTCTCTTTGGCACCTTACTAGGTCCCCTCTGAGTCACCTTCCTCCCCTCAGGCACCATTCCTCATGTCTTTGGCCATAAATGTTGTCCCACCTAGATGACATATATGAACACAGGCCAATGGCAGAGTGGTAAAAATGGCCCCAATCCAAAAGCCTTATCCACCTTGCATACACACTCACACATGCACACATTTTTCTCATGTGCACAGGGAAGGGGATATGTCTATGCAAGAATACAGGTGGGGCCCACTTTTTTTTTGTTGTTTGAACCTACAACAAACTAACCAAAGAATGGTTTCAGTGGCCCTGTGGTCCAAGCAAAGCTATGGCCTTGCCTTCTCTTCCCCATGCCCCTCCTCCTGTTAACCAACCCAACTCTCCTCCAGAAAAGTTTCTGACATTCCACAGATAAAGATAACTCTTAAAACAGCTCGCCCTGAACCCAGCCTGCTGCACAGGCCCCTAGTAGCCCAAGACCCTGAAATGATAAAAGTCACCCACATGGGCTTACACTTGCCACTCTACCCTCCAACTGTTATGCACGCCAACAGGCTTAGAAGAGAAATTGTCACTGAAGCTGAATATAATTAACAATATAATTTTGATTTTCCCAAATGTATTTCTACTAAGAAGAAATCATCAAACTGGGCCATTGTGAAGGATCACTGATCAATAAAAATCCTAACAGTAATCATTTACTATGTATAAGAGCCTCTACCAAGTGTTTGGTGTACATTATTTAATCTCCAAAACAATACTGTTAAGGTAGGTTGTGTTATTTTGCAGAGAGGAAAACAGAGTCAAAGAGGTTAAGTAGTTTTTCCAAGGCCACACAGCTGGTAAATGACCAGGATTCTAACTCCAAAGCTTGTGAGTCTTTTTCTTAACCTCTGCAGTAAAATATTAAAAAAGAGAAAATAGAAAATATGAAATGCCCACATGCCCTTAATGTATTTCAGTCACATCAATACAATACTCCAGGCCTGAGCTGAATTTACTCAACACTACTCTTATCAGTGAGACATTCCCATAACCCTACATACACGTGAATTGTTGAGCTCGTACGCCTTCCTCAACCCCATCGCCCCTATCCCGAGAACGCAGGGATGCTCTGTGCCACAGTTGTGTTGCAGTCCTAGGGTGCCATCCTTACCAAAGATATTTACATTTAAATCCGAAACATCAAAAGAATAATAGAGAGAGACTCCGATGGCTGATTTTTTAGATGCCCTAAAATGGGGAAGAAGATGCGTCTGAGTAGAGCTTGATCTAAGGACAGGAGGAGGTGACAGCAGGAGGCTGAGGTAGGGAGCAGCAGGAAGTAGGTCCGGGGCTCCAGGCTTTGATGGGAGGAATGGTTTGTTAGTTTGCTAACAAGTCTGATGGAAAAAAAAAACATATTTCTAAGGTTTTTCCATTTGGAAATATGAGTAGTATCACAATGTTACATTATTATGATCTGTTATGCTTACCAAGCCTCTGAACAGGCAAAATCCAGTTGCCAGGAGGAGACACACGACCAACATTAAATCAAATGGTCTTCTCAGCAGGTCTTTCGCTTGGGCTTCTTGAATAACCTAAAATAGAGTTTGTACCTAAAGAGCAGGCCCAAGGTGCCAAAGAAGAATCTGAAATCTGAAACATTAAATGTCATGATGATGGATAAGAGAATTTTGAAGATTCACAATTTATATCATAAGTCACTGGCCATGGAACTTTAGGAAAATCATTTCCTTCCTCAAGTCTCAGTTTCCTTATCTGTGAAATGAAGAATTTGGGCTAAATGATCTCTCGAAGGGCCCTTATAGCTCTATGAGTCCACATTTTTTCTTGAAATGACATTTTAATGATAAGAAATTTTAAAAGCAAACCATAAACCTACCACATCACTATTAACCATTGGTATACTTTTCCAGTAATACATGTAGTAGATACATACACACACACACACTACATACATATATACACACATATCTATATTTTTCACAAAATTAGGACTTAGTATAAACAATTCTGTATTTGTTCTTTTTGCCCTCAACATCTGCCTATATTGTAAACACTTTCTTACATAATTAAAAATATTCTAAAAGTGAATACAGTATGGAAACACCACACTTCAGCCATTCTCCCACTGTTGGATATTTAGGCATTTTTCACTGTTATACTTAATGTAATGATGAACAATTTTGTATGTAAATCTTTGGTGGTATCAGTGTGATGATTTCCTGAGGATAGGGATGTAGGAGCAGAATTATTGGGTTCCAGAATTATTAAGGTTGATAATATTGCCAAATTGCTTTGCAGAACAATTCTGAATGTGTGTTCCTGTCAGCACTGTATGACAATGCTGCTTGGCCCTGGCTGTCACTGTGTTTTCACATTAAAAATGATGATAAGCAATTCTGCATGCCTCATGGCATACCTACTCTGTTGACACACTGACATGGAAACTTTAAAAGCAGTGGAGCCGGGACTAAGCATGGACTGACTATTTGCTTTTTCTTTTTAACAGCCACCTCTTTCCTCAGAGGGATGTAAGAGAGTACCAGCTGTCAGTGTGCCAGCCTGAGTTTACATAGCAGCTGTCTAAATGTTTACACATGAAGTATTTGTCAATTAAAATGTATTTTAATGAATTTTATTGAAAACATTTTATAAAATGAATAGTCGTATTCTGATTATCTCTAGTAATTCATATTTTCATATATCAGTTTTGCTTAAAAGATCTTGCTAAATAATCTAATGCCTAGAAAAGGGAAAGAAACAGAGAAACTAGCTTAGAAATGAAGGCCTTAACAGAGTGTCTGCCAGGCCAGTGTTGTTTCACCTTGACCACCCTGGCTGTGAATGGAAGGGGAGGTGTCTCAGATGTCCTGTAGCCAGTCTCCTTGGGTCTGGATCTCTGGAGTCGAGATTGTATGGCTGTGTAGACTACCTTGAGGAGCCGTATCCCTCCAGTGTCCTCTTGGGGTAGTAAATGCATAGGTGTCACAGAGGAACCCAGGTGCTCAAAATCCAGGCCATTAACAACCCTAGATGAACCACATACTATGGACTTCACTTGACACACTAATGCAGAATCTGATGGTTAGAGGCAGTATGACCACTGGCACAGGAAGCTCCCCAAAGTATGGCCTTGCCAACAGAAGCAGATGTATTCAGACAGAAACAGACCTTCTTGCCCACATTAACTAAGATGTAAGCTAATGCTGCATAATCAAAACAGTCACACTGTTTGGATACCCCAAATGCTCCAGTCCACAGAGGCACAGTTCAATTCAGCAGCCAGTGGATGCGAACGAACCCTATGAGTTTGAGAACAGGGTACATCAAAACTTAATAAAATCACCTTTGAGGGGTAATTATAATTTTCTGATGGCTGATTATAGATTCTGAAACCAGCCCAGACAGGAAGACAAGTATATGGTATGCTTAAGAAAAAAGCAGGGCAAATTCGTGTTCCATACTTCCCTATTTAAAAGAGAGAAAGAGAAAGAAGTTACCAAAAGCATATCTAACCCAAGTAATATTTAGGATACCTCCCCATCTCAGGTCATCTAAAATTTTGCTATGGGCCAGACAATATTTTTAATGAGGCCAAATTAAAAAGGTCAATTTAAAATACTAGATGTATATTAACAGGCATGTCCTGCCTACAGTAATCTGCTTGAGCCCAGGAGGTCAAGGCTGCAGTAAGCTATGGCTATACCACTGCAACCCAGCCTGGGCAACAGAGTGAGATCCTGTCTTAAAAAAAATACGTCTAGATAGATATCTATATATGTTTGTATATAGCTATCTCCCTATATATATAATATCCTGATTTCCTGCATTCATTAATAATGTACTTATAATTTCCAAGTACATTTTTGGAGTTCTCATCATGTGTCAGGAGTTACATATTTGCACACTAAATATAGCCATAAACACCATGCTCACTCCCTCAAGATCCTTCTAAAAAAATAGGAATCCCTGATACTTGACTGCCAAATTGTTCAATGCACACATCTGGAAATTGCTCAAAAGCAGTTCTTAAAAGGTATTTTTTTTAAAGGTGAGAAAAAGGAATTACTCTGCAAAACAGATTTTTAGTAAGCGTGGAATCACCTGGTTCTATTATAACTAAAAGAGCTTCTCTATTTAAAAACAAGCCCCATTGTTTTAGAAAAGGAAAGTGAACTTTAAGATAAAGTTTCTTACCTACAATGTTTCCTGGCACAAAAACAACAACACTCATAATAATAGATCCAACCCAATATAGGCCAATGGTTCTATATGTTTCCCTGTAACAACAACAAAAAAATCTTGACTTGATATGCTTGTCTTAGAATACTAAGCAAAAAATGATCCTCAATATTATTTTTTATTCAAACTAGTAAAGCACATGAATCAAAACATATTGAATCGAGAGGAATAAATCAAACACAGGGAGTCCTGGTTATCTAACTTCATTGCCACGTGATATACTATAGAACCTTCTTCGTGTCCTTTTAAATAGGAAATTATGCCTGCTATGTATTCTGTTAAACTACAACATGATCATCCCTGCTACAGGACTCCTGCATTTCCCTGTTGTGTGTGAAACTCAACAGCATGAAAGGAAAAAAGAAAGTTGAAAGAAGAAAGGAAATTGGATCCGTATTTTTAATCATTGTAAGTATGAGTTATACTTACAATGATAATGTTAAATGGACTTTTCCTGGGGTCACAGAATATTGGCCAAAGCCCCAAAGGTGAAGACAAGTGACATGTACCCCATGTTGCAAAGGAGCTGCTAGACATATACCCCTAATCTTCAATGCTCACAAAAAGTTTGTTCAGGCAGGGCGTGGTGACTCACGCCTGTAATCCCAGGACTTTGAGAAGCTGAGGTGGGTGGGTCACTTGAGGTCAGGAGTTTGAGACCAGCCTGGCCAACATGGTGAACCACTGTCTCTACTAAAAATACACACAAAAAAAAATTAGCTGGGCATGGTGGCATGCACCTGTAATTCCAGCTACTCTGGAGGCTGAGGCAAGAGAAATGGTTGAACTCGGGAGGCATAGGTTGCGGTGAGCCAAGATTGCGCCACTGCACTCCAGCCTGGGCGACAGAGCGAGAGACTGTCTCAAAAAAAAAAAAGTTCCTTCAATTGATAACTCCAGTAATCCAACTCCACACTATGTAACAGGCTATGAGAAATTCAAAAGGAAATCCTCTGAAAGGAAACAAGGAGAATACTGTGTGGGTCCTGCCCCACCCTAGCCCTCAAGCCAAATGTAACCGGACCCCAAGAGGCCCATTCACAATGACTGGGATTGTAGGGAGGACAGATAAGAATGAGCTGGAGCCGGGCGCGGTGGTTCACGCCTGTAATCCCAGCACTTTGGAAGGCTGAGGTGGGCAGATCACCAGAAGTCAGAAGTTTGAGACTGGCCTGGCCAACATGGTGAAAAAAATTTTTAGATTGTTGTACTAAAAATACAAATTTGCGGGTGTAGTGGCACACGTCTGTAGTCCCAGCTGAGGCATGAGAATTGCCTGAACCCGGGAGGCGGAGGAGGTTGCAGTGAGCCGAGATTGTGCCATTGCACTCCAGCCTGAGAGACAATAGCAAAACTCTGTCTCAAAAAAAAAAAAAAAAGCTGGAGCTGACCTTGAGTGCATGTTGGGAGTGAGGGAGATAGTTGGTTAAACTGCATTTCAACCTTGTATGGGGCAAGAATGCATGACTTTCTGTAACCCGGAAGCAAGTGGAGGCCTGAGAAGACGGCTGGACTTAAACGTTTTGAAAGGATCCCTCCCCAAAGGGTGCGCCTTCTGGGTTACAGGGGCCCCAGCAGAAAAAAGCTGTGGGTGGGCCACCATGGGCAGAAATTCAGCGTAAGAGCATGTCGTTCACTTCAGGGATTAGTGCAATGCAGAAGCTCCTGTGGTTGGGGTCTCTAAAGAACTCACACGTGTGCCTCCCAAGACCAACCTCGCATGTCATGATGGGGGTACTGCTACCCAAAAACAGCACCTTTCACATAAGACTCTTCCCCTGTTCCTTTAATCCCTTGTACATACACATCTACTCCCAAGGGGCCAGCTGCAGAGTCAGATGAGAGGAGTGAACGGACGGGCCATGTAGCCAAGCCTTAGTGCAAGCCAAGCCGCAGAGCTGTGCCTGATCTGGGGAAGGACAGAAGCTTTAAACCAAAATGAGATTGCAGTTTGGAAATTCTGAAGTTTTGAAATGAAGTTTAAGATGTGCTTGGCTTTAATTGCTGAAAATAAAAATTATTCTTGTAAGACAACATAATCAGAAAGCGTAAAGGGTCTGCCCGAGCTATCACCATGCTGGGGAGCAATTCAGAGGGACATATTCAAAAGGCAGTGGTACAAGGAGGATAAAGCCACGTCTGACGTGCACCCATGGAACTTATATTCATGTCCAGTATACTTGCTTGCGTATTTGCCTCTATGCATAATGTTTCCTTACATACCCGCTTATCAGTTGCTAAGGTGGCAAAGGCACACACCAGGTGAACTGACTTACTCCCATGCTATGGCTGCCACCATCACCAGGTACATCAGATAATGAGCAGAGCCATCCCAGTAGCAGATCATGTGCCCATATGCAGTGTTCAGATACGGTTCACCCTAAAGAAAGCATTAAACAGAAGTCCACTTTAAATAAGACCTGTAAATGCAGAACATCAGACCTGTATTGCAAGTAAAATAAAACAGCAGAAATAACTTGGGTTCATCTGCTAAGATGAAACTATTTCTTCAAAATTGGTAGGAACGTGAAAATACAACTTCATGCTGGAGCTGCCAAAACCAGGGTCTGGCCACAGAGGATGGAATTAGAGAATGCCTGGCCAATGGGCCCATGATGCATCAACATAGGTTTGTACTGTGATGCGAAGGCAGATGGCATGATAGGCAATCCCAGCTGTACGGCAAACTCATGGAGACCAAGCCAAATCTTTGACAAAAGGTGCTGGGCAGTGATCAGAGAGGTGATCAGGGATGACCCTGCTTTCCAGAGCCAGTGGCTGGCCTTAATAATTCATGCTGATCCCGTGGCTTGCTGGACTGGGCATGGCACAGCATGCATTCTCCACATACCGACACATAGGCAGGCAGGCACTGAACTCGGAGCTTCATACCCAACCCCTCCTTCTACCTTCCCAACAACCCAGTGGGATGGACAGGATTGAGTCCATTTTACAGATGAGGAAACAGAGGCTCTGAGAGATTACAAGACTTACCTAAGGTCACGTAGCTAGTATACCTAGCAGAGAACAAGAAGAGCCATACTTCTCCTGGGCAAATGTTAATGTTATGAACACGAGATCATATGACGAACTACAGTTCCCTTTTCTAGGTGGTTACATTTCCCTTTTCTAGGTGGTTATATTTCCCTTTTCTAGGTGGTTATATTTCCAGGTGGCTTCTGGAAAGTCACTGGCAATTTTCCGTGCATTTCTACTGTTGTTTTGGCCCCACCTTGTTTTCCTTTCTTCTTTCTCCCCCGCTCATGCTGTCCTGGCTTGTTTCACACTGTAAGATGCCTTAAGTCCTTTCTACAACAAGGAAGAGTGCAGATCAACCAGCCCACCAATCAGCCAAGCAAGCAGGGCTTTCTTTCAAGTTTCATGCTCCCCTGGGGCAAGGACTGCTTTGTTATCTCTCCCACAGATCAAATCAAATTAAAATCAGACGAACAGGAAACAGAATCAAGGTTCTGCTTCTACACCCATGCCAGGCCCACGTCCTTTCTCTCGGACTTGCTGTGACTGAAGAATACATCCGATTTATGGTTTCAGACTTCCATTGCTAACACACCTGGCTCTCTGAGCCAGTGGTGGTCTCTCCTGGTAGCTTGATGAGCATCTTTAACTGCATGGTCCACAGGCCACAGGTCCTTTGAACTCGCCTGAACTCTTAGTTCATCAGCGTCTCCCCTCAACCAGCCTCTCTCTCTCTTGCTCTCTCTGTACGTGTGTGTGTGTGTGTGTGTGTGTGTGTAGAGACAGGGTCTCGCTCTGTCACCCAGTCTGGAGTGCAGTGGCGCAATCATTGCTCACTGCAGTCTCAACTCCTGGCCTCAAGCGATCCTCCCACCTTTGTCTCCCAAAGCACTGAGATTACAGGCATGAGCCACCAGGCCAGCCATGGCCTCTCTATATTAATGATGATACCATTCAGCTTCCCAAGGTCAAAACCACATGGTCATTTTTTCATTCCTCATTCTCCTATGCAGTCTTTCAGCAAATCTATCAACTTTATCGCTACAATGTCACCCTGGCAATACTCCCTCTTCTTCACAGCATTAGGTCTAGCCCTCAGTGTCCCTCACTGGGCCACGGCTACATTCCCAAATGGTCTCCCTACCTCTGTCCCCTCCTTCCAGCCCATGACACTCCTCCTGCCAGATGAAGATTCTCAAGGCCTGGCTCTTGGCATGTTGCTCCTCTACTCTAAAACTCCCCAAAACTTGTCACAGCCTGCTGAACCAAGCCCCATCTCTCTATCACAGCTGGGTCCCCAGAGCCTGGCCCTGCAGACCTTGCCACCACAGTTACACCCCAGTCCCCGTTCTGGTACCCCATCTGCCCCAATGCTTACCACCCTTGCCAGCTCAGCCTCCAGCCCTCTCGTCAGCCGCCTCCTTCCTAAAACCTCCCTCCTCCGGGTGCCATGGTCCCCACTCTCCAGGTTTTCCTTCTGCCTCTTGGCCTGCCCCCAAGGTCCACTTCAGGGGCTTCTCTTCTTCTGGCCATGGTCTCTAAAGTCCCAAGCTCAGCCCTTTTCTCTCTCTACCTTCTCATAGGCAAGCCCATCTCCTCTCAGACCTTCAGGTACCAACCGCACTCAGATGGCCCCGGACTCTTTGCCAGGACTGCTCCTCAGAGCTCAAGACCTGCAAAGCCTTGCCAGCATCTGAAACTCTACCTCCCCACAGAAATTCTGCCTCATCCCTGCAGATTGGTGCCCCAGTGGGAGGTACATGCTCTTTCTCCTCTCCAGTCCTCTCCAAGCCTTTGCCCAAGCTGTCCTTTCTCTCCAGAATTTCTCCTATCTCCCTGGTCCATCTGGAAATATCTATCTTCCACTGCCATGACCATTTTTTAAATGCTACAGCAGTGTCACCAACTCAATAAGCCTTCCCCAACTGTGCCCAGACTTAATTCCTCCTCCGTGTACTTCTGTGCCTGGAGTAAGTCTCTGTCACTGCACCTGGGACAATGCCATCTCCCCACCACATCAGGCAGGGAGCTCCTGGGGGGCAGGGAGCAGGTCTTCTGACCACAGAGTCCCCTTCAACAAATGTCTGCAGAAAAAAATTCCTCCTCTCATCCCTCTCTGGTGTAATGTTTTTACATTACATGTTTGCAGCATTCTTCCAAATTCCAAAGCAGGAATCAGGACACTGTCTTAGGCCTCACCCTTCCCATCATTCCCAATTTGTCCCCAAGTCTTACTCATTCTAGCCACTCTGATTCTGTAAAGTTCATCCCTCTCTCTACTTCCCATGTGCTGCCTCTGCCCAGCCACATTTATGCCCCTGCTGGTCCCGAGGAATCCTCCTGACTGGTGCCCCAGCTCATGGCACGGACCCTTCCCTGCAAACCCGTCCTTCCCAGAGTTACCTGTATTCTTCACTGACTTAAAATCTTCCCTCACAGACAGGATAAAACCTAAAATCCCACAGTGTACATACAAAGCTCCCCATTATTTGAACATGGATGAAGAATCTGCTTTGAGCCCTGTTCCTCATTTCCTGTGTAACCTTGAATGAGTCACTTAACCTCTCTGGGGCTGGGTTCAGCCCACCATAAAATAAGAAAATAGGACTAGCTCTCTTGAGTACCAGGCAGCTATCTAAAGCTATGATTTGGGCAGTGTGGTGAGGAGTGCCAGCCATCACAATCAAATGACTTCATCAAGTGCTTCTGTGTTTGGTACTTTACAAATTTAAGACTGACTTGGGGTTTCTGAGATAGACATGTATTAACAGACACAAATACTAAATCCATTTAAGGTACCTTATTTATATTAAATACAAATAAAGGGGAAAAGCAGGTCATGTGTGGGGTCATGAGTGAGAGAAGCTATGAGAGCTGAACATTGGAGAGAATTGCCTCCCGTGATCTAACCGTCCTTTCTGCTCCACTTTCCATGTGAATAAGTGACCTAAGGCTATTATAGGAAATCAAAGCCTGCCTATCATACCTGTTCACACTAAATGAGAGGACTTCTGGCTCGGAGTAATGTGATCTGGGTTGTGGTCTTTTGGTTGAAGCCTCATAATCACTAAGTGATCCCATACCTCTCTCAAGTAGTGTGTCATGAACCCGTCAATGATTCCATCTTGCTCCAGTCCTATGATGAGGTTCACCACGCTGGTAAATCCAAAAACTGCATACACTAGAGCAAAGAAAGCAGCAGTTTAAAAAGCAATAGCTCAGGAGGCAATTACACAAGCTTGGCATCAGCTAATAATAATGGAATGTTTTTCATGTTTTCCAGAAGATGCTGTGGACAATTATCGAGATAGACTAACAGAATACCCCTTCTACACACCCAGCTGGACCACCACTTGTGTTTGCAGCTCTCCCCATCCCTGCCTAACTACTCTCTTCAAGGCAACACTCATCACAGGAGTGGAGAATGATGGTCACCACCGACTCAGTCACAGAAGATTCTAGCAGGCCAACTCCACCCATCCTCCACTCCCCTACAAGTGGCTGCCCAGAGCCAAACCCACATCCCACCTGGGCAGTGGGAGCAAAGCCAGTAACCGAGTGCCCAAGGAAGCATAGAAGTGACCGCTAAGTTTAAGACAATGACTCAGGCTGGGCGCAGTGGCTCGAGCCTGCATTCCCAGCACTTTGGGAGGCTGAAGCAGGCAGAACACCTGAGGTCAGGAGTTCAAGACCAGCCTGGCCAACATAGTGAAAGCCCGTCTCTACTAAAAATACCAAAATTAGCTGGGTGTGGTGGCACACGCCTGTAATCCCAACTACTCCGAAGGCTGAGACAAGAGAATCACTTGAACCCAGGAGGTGGAGGTTGCAGTGAGGCAAGATCGCGCCGCTGCACTCCAGACTGAGCGATAGAACAAGACTGTCTCCAAAAAAAAAAAAAAAGGCCATGACTTGACAATGTGATTCATCTCAATGATTCCCAAGCAGGCCACCTCACAGCGTGTCCAGTGTGGTTACCCTATTCCACACAGCGTATCCTAGAGACAGGTGGCGATGTGCAAGTGACAATGGCTTTCAGAAATAAGACTAGTGATGTTAAAAATGAATACAAGAGGATATAATTGAATATGACAGAAGGAAATCTGTACCTATCAGAGAATCTTATTAGAGTTGTGAGCATCTCCTAAATGGGCTTAAAGCTACTAGCAACAAGAAATAATACTTTTTAAACAGCAGGTGATCAAATTTAGTGCATGTTAGTTTGTCAAAGCTGCATTTTCAAGTTGTAACAAATTGGTGCCTTAGACTATGGGATGGGCATGAACAGTAGAAAAATCTGATGGTGAATATAAGAAAAGCTATGAAAAAAGAAATGGAGAGGAGTGTGGGGATGGTTAATTCACAGAGAAGGGAAGGTGGCCTTACCTGGAGTCAGCAGCCAGGAGTCCAGCACTCACCTTCTCCCCAGAAGGAACAAAAGGCCACATGTACATGAGGAGTCTGGCCTTGGGCCTGACCCTGGCCCTGAAGCTGCAGTATGCTCAAAGCTGTAGCAGACCAGGACAGAGGGCTGAGGGTACAGGAGAGGGTGCCCAGCCTTGAAGAGTCAGAGGGGCCAGAGCACAGGCCAGTAGAGAGAGCCAAGAAAAGGGATGTGGGCTTTGAAATCAGACAGACCCAGGTCATCTACTGACTGGCTATAAAACCTTAGGCAAGTTACATCATTTCTGTAAGCTTCAGAGTTTCTTATATGTGGATTGGAGAAACTAGTTACTCACAATTCTTCTTTCCCACCTCACCTTTCCTAAGGCCCACTGTGGGCAGAGAATGCTCCCTATGCTGTTGCTGATGGGCTCGGCCTGAAGCCTCATCTCAGCCAGTGGAATATGGGTGGGAGTAAGAGGGGGCAGCTCCAAGCCAAGGTCTTAAGAGCCACCACTTTCTTCCTACTAGCCCCACTGTGCCTCTGTATCTGCCATGAGAAGGGCATGCCTGGGAGCTGCTGGTCTAAGAACAAGGAGTCAGAGAACAGCCCTGAAATCAACCCACAGCCTGATGCAGAGTGTCCCCAACCCACAGACCTGTGAGCAAGAAAAATAAATGTTTGTTGCTGTAGGACTTGGGGTGCATTTGATATGGAGCATTACTGAAGCAGGAACTATAGAACAAAATGCCCAGCAAGGTGCCTGGCACAGGAAGTGCTCAAAGGCCAGTAGTAGCTTGGCTGGGGCAGCATGCATGATGGAAGGGCATAGGCTTTGGGGGTCAAAAGCCACATGACCTTTGCCACATTTCTTAGCATCTCCAAGCCAGCTGCTTCACTTTCAAGTGGAGGGATGGTGAGGATTAGGTAAAAGCCTGCTGCTAAAGTGCTCAGGGCCATACAAGGTGCACTATAGGTGCTTGTCTCTATGGCAGGTTCCATTATTTTCCTCTTCAAGCATATGTGCAGACCCAGGCACCACACAGTTAAGTTCTGCACTAAGTCGGGGGGACTGCAAGTAGCAGGCTGAAGACAGGAAGCCCAGGAAGGAGCTGGCATGAGAGTCGAGGTCAGAGGTCAAAGCATGCTGGGGTTGGCAGGGTGCCTGCCTTGCCTGGCCTGGCAGTAACCCTCCACCAGGATGCCACCTGGGAGAGGGTGGAGTCCACAGCCTAAGAGGCAATAGCCAGAGGTGAGGGCCACATTATCCTGAAACACTCCTACACTTGCAACCACTGTTACCAAAAGGCTCAGAGTATTCACAACCAAGGAGGAATATGTGACTGAGGCCAAAAGTATTGTGTTATTAATCAGATACAAAAGATTTCCCTTTGTGGAGGCGTACCATAGAACAGCGGGTCCCGGGGTGGTTTTCTTTTGACGAGGACACGAGCCAGCAGTGCTACCAGGAACAGGATGAGGGCAGCAACCCCTACAATAGTCCAGGAACTGCAACGACCAGAACAGGGAGGTGGTCACTATCAAAATAAACACATTGGTGCCTGGAATTTCCTGACTACTGAATGCATTCGCTCCTAGTCCTGCATAATTCATCCATAATTCTGCTTCTGCCTGCAGCTCCCAGCGCTGTAGAGTTAGTGAAGTTTATCTGCACCTCTTTGGCCCATCTGGGCTGCAGCCCATGACTTTCAGGGACCGAAGCCATCAGGTCCTCCTCATTCTCCTCTTATCCTGTCTCATGTGCACAGATGACATGTCTGGAGCTCCCTCTGCCTCACCCCACCCTGATGCGCAGATGACCACTGCCCCAGTGCCTCCACCTACCCGTTCCTCTAACCCCTGCTCCCTAGCAGCTGACAGGTCTCACCACTGACTCTGCCACCTTCCTCAGGGCCAGTCAGAAGCCCTCAGACTGAGCTCCAAGGAATATATAGGCATTACAACTAAACATGCCTTCCAGGGGACAAGAAAGAAGTGACCTTATGTTTTGTGTATAATCAAATGGGCCAGAGAATGAGGCCAGGAAATCCATGGAGGAGGAGTCTGGACTAGACCTGAGGCCAGAATGAAGATAGCCCAACGCCCCAGAACCAGGACCAACAGATCAGCATCCAACCCCAAACCACAGAAACCAAGGTGAAGCTTGGTTGAGCACATCCCCTGGACGTTCTACAGGAAACGGAATGGCACCAAGGACAGCAGGGGTCAAAGACACTACTCAGTGGGGCAGCACTAGGGCACGAGGCTTGGTAGAGTTATCAGTCAGGAAACCAGGATCCTGGTACCCATTCTGTTGCTAACTGTGTCACCCTAGGAAAGTCACATCATTGCATGCATCTGTTTATTAATTAATTCAAAAACATATCAAGGAAAAAAATGTATTGTGCACCCCTATGTGGTAGCCATTGTTGCAGGCCCTAGGAGACTGGATAAATAAGAGAAGTCCTTGCCTACATGGAGGAACCTATCTGAATGGACTCTGAGCTCTACCACCTAGGAGTTTTCCTGTAGCCCAACAGCAGTACTCTCCCTCTCACACCTCCAGCATTGACAAAGTTTCCAATTCTAGACAAAATACTACCTGGCCCACTCCGATGGCTTGCTACACCAGGACCTCTTCAGCTTGGAGGAGCTACAAGCACCACTCCTCAGCTGAGACCCCTCCACACCACCACAGCCCAACATTGAGACCTTTGGATAACTATCACCATCCCTAGGAGAGAGAAAGAGAAGAATAGAAGGAGGGAGGGAAGGGGGGAACAAATAGATTATGAGTGGATGGATAGGTGGATGGATGATAGAATGAATGGATGGATGGATGATGGATGGATGAATGGATAGATAATGGATGAATGGATGGATGGATGATGAATGAATGGATAGATGATGGATGGATGATGGATGAATGGATAGATGATGGATGAATGGATGGATGATGGGTAAATGGGTGGATGATGGGTAAATGGATAGATGGATGATGGATGAATTGATGGATGATGGAGGATGATGGATAAATGGATGGATGGATGACAGATGGATGAATGGATAGATGATAGATGAGTGGATGGATGGATTATGGGTGAATGTATGGAGGATGGATGGATAGATGATAGATGGATCAGTTCTATGATAAGAATGAGAAGGCCAGGCACAGTGGCTCACACCTGTAATCCCAGCACTTTGGGAGGTTGAGGCAGGTGGATCACCTGAGGTCAGGAGTTTGGGACCAGTCTGGTCAACATGGCGAAACCCCATCACTACTAAAAATACAAAAAATTAGCCAGGTGAGGTGGCAGATGCCTGTAATCCCAGCTACTTGGGAGGCTGAGGCAGTAGAATTGCTTAAATCTGGGGGTTGGAGGCTGCAGTGAGCCAAGATTGAGCCACTACCCTCCAGCTTGGGCAACAGAGCAAGAGTCTGTCTCAAAAAATAATAATAATAAATTAATTAAATTTTAAAAAAAGAATGAGGGTGGCTGTTTCAATGTCCAGGTGAGAAACTGAAAAATAGGAGGTTTCTGGTGATTGCACATCAGTGGTTGCTCCAGGATCCTCCTGTGGGGATGAGCTGAAGAAGGAGGAAGCCAGTGTGGGTCAAGAGTGTGATGCTGGGCTGAAGAATCCTGTGAGGAGGGAAGAGGTGGGTGTGCTGGGTCAGCTGACAGGCATTTTAATGGTGAACAGCCTGAGACAGGTGGTGGTCGGGTGACAACTCCAGTCCTCCTACCAAGGGCCTGCACTCACGGCCAGCAGGGTCGCGTGGCTGGTGCTCTTCTGGAGCAGGAGAGAGCAGTGTAAAGTGGTTCACAGCATCCTCTCATGTTCTTAGCTCCAGGAGAGGAGGGAAAAATGAAAGGAAAATAGGGCAGCAGATCATCTCTGACTCTTGGCACTGTCCCCAGAGACCCTCCTACAACAGCCAAGTGCAGGACCTGCTCACCACAGGAGAAAGAGGTCCTGCAGGGACTCAGGGACAGGTAAGGGCTGTGACTAACTCCAGGATGAGAAGGTTGCTAGTCTTGGGGGCTGGGAGGGCCTGCTGATGCGCTTTTATGGACAAACACCTACTGAGAGGGGACATGCATGGATGAGTGTGAGCGGTGTGTGTCTCAGTGAGAGAGGGAGACAGAACACGCTCAATCCTTTCCTGGCCTCTCAATCTCATTTTCTTTTTCTGGTTTTCAGAGTTGCATAAAAGGTTTGGTGGGAAGGAAACTCGATTTAACAAAGTCAAACATACCTGAGTGCCTACAATGCACACGGTGCTGGCCTGGGCAGGACAGTACAGAGGGGTTAGATATAGCCAGGGCAGGTAAGTTCTGACCACAGGAAAGTAACTCTCGGGAGAAAGGTGCAAACGAGGGACTGAGGGAGCTCAAAGGAGAGAGAGGGAAGGTCTGCAAAAGGTAGAAATGGCCATAAAGTCCAGGTGCGGCTTCAACAGTCTGCGATAGGAGGAAGGCAGCATCCTGGTCAGGGAGCAGCAGGAGTCTGGGCTAGAGGCTGGAGAGGAGGAGGAGTGGTCAAGGGGCAAAGGCAGGCTGGTGTGGCGGGAGCAGTAGTGCGTGGGCTGGGACTGGGGACAGAGGCTGAGAAACACGCCGGGGGCTGGGCAGGGGGACTTGCACGGGAGCCTTTGCCACAGTCCAGGTCAGAAAGGGCCAGTGCCAGGGAGAACTGAAAGGAGAGAACAGACACTAGAGCCCCAGGACTTGTGGGGAAGGAGACAGTAGGAGGAAGGTAGTGGAGAAAGAAGAGAGAGGAATCAAAGGCCACTGGGGTTTTAACCTGCAAGAGGACAAGAAGAATGGCTGACACTATTCAAAACGCTGTGCTTGCCAATGCGCTCCATCATGCACAGCAATACGTAATTCAGTCTGTATTCAGTAAATGCCATCATCATCTTCCCAGTGGCTGAGGCCAAAACCTAGGGCTCATCCTCAAATCCTCTCTTTGCTGCCATGCAGCCCTCTTCAGTAAGCCCTATCTGTTCACCTTCCCAAATACCGACTATGCCCCTCCAGTTCCTTCCCCTGCACTGCTCCATTTTCCTGCCCGACAGGCTCCATTCCCAGATCTTCCCATAGCTCAAGTGTTACCTCCTCCTAGAAGCCCTCCCCGGCCACCAGCCCCCTCCCCAGTCACCCTATTTTATTATCTTCATAGCATGTCACTATCTATGTATTATCTGTCTATCTCATTACCTGCCTCCACAACCTCTTCTGGCTTGTTCATAGCTGTGTCATCAACACTTGGAACAGTGCCAAACACACAGTAGGCACTCAATATATCTTCACTGAACTGCCCATAATGCTGTTTTTTTGAGGGTCCCCCATGCCCTATATTGACAGGCATGTAATATTTGGTGGCCCGGAGCAGCTGCCTCTAGGGGATGCCTCCAGAGACTGGGTCAGACCAAGGACAAACACTGCTGGTGCCTGGTGAGCACTCAGTGTGGGTGCTGCCTGGGTCAGGTGGCCCGGCAGCTAGAGAAGAGGAAGTTACCACCCTGTGTACAGACACTCCAAGGCTTGACCAGCTGAAGGGGGTTTGCAGCCTACAGACTGATGCAATTTCCTTCTCACCAACAGCTGAGAAACATAGCAGGTTACTTCCTCCTCCCTCCAGACAGCAACCAACTTCAGCAGGCACAGAGGCTGGCGCCTATCCCAACACCCGGAGACCCTCAAGCCTTCGGCTGCCCGCTGCAAGTTGGTTAGTCAGTGATCCCTGCAGTGGAGTGGGAGGCAGGGCTTCGAACCCAAGCCCTGTCCCCCTCCGTCAGCCTCACCCATTTCCTTCGCATTGAAGTGTTCTGCCTCTGCTGCCGGTCCCCATCCTACCCCAGTGCAGGCACTGGGAAGCACTTCTCCATTCACAACGCCCCTTCACAAAAAGGTCTCCGTGGAACCTTACAATAGGACGCACACAAAGTCCACTTGACCGGAAGACCGAGGCTAGACCACACCGTCAGTGCCAAAGCCAGGCCTAGAACCCACGTCTCTGCCTGTTGGTTCCGGGCTATTTCTGCTAGTCATTCACAACAGTTTCTAAAATTAATAAGAAATGATAAGTATGCGAAAGTCCATACATGGAAACGTTCCCGTGAGATGCAAAAAGAACAAGGCACACACGAGCTGACACGGCCGGCCAGGCTCATAGTGTCCGTGTTTGTTCCGCTCCCCACCGGCCCCTGGGCCCCTCCAGGGCAGGGGTATTGACCCCTGTGTCCCCGGGCACCTGGCGCGGTGCTGGCACCACATCCCGAAATGCGCCAGCCTGGGCACTTCAGGGCCTGGCTCCAGGACCGGGCCCGTGCGACCCCTGGGACGCCCCCCTCTGTCCCGCGGCGGACGGACGGTCCCAGCCCCCTCGGGAAAGTTGCGAAGCTCCCGCCGCGCCGAACCAACTCCAGCCGCCCCTCGGCGCGACCCCCGCCGCCTCCGCTCACTCACTCGTGCTGGGCAGCCAGGTGGTTGAAGACATAGGTGACCGGGATGGCCGAGAGGGACAGCACGAAGACCCCGGTGGCCGCAGAGGCACTCATCGCAGCCGCCGCGCTGCTCGCCCTTCACCGCATCCCGCTGGGCGCCCCGCCCCAGCTTCCGGCGGCGCCCGCGCCCCCTCGGCGCTTGCCCTTCGAGGCGCCCCAGCCGCGCTCCGCGCGCCGCGCCCTCAGCGGCGTCCCCTCAGCGGTGTCCCCTCGGCGCGCCCTCCCAGCCCGCAGCCGCCCCCCGCGCCCGGCCTCGCCTCCCCGAGTGCGCAGGGCCGCGGTGCAGTCCCGGGAGGCGTCCTCGCAGTGCTTCTGCCAGGGGCGCCAGGGCTCAGCGGCGAGCGCCCGGCGGCGCCGAGGGGCGGCGACACCCCTGCGGGGGGACAGGTGCCCCGGTTGCGCGCTCTCCGAGGGAGGGCCCGGGGCATGGCGGGAACCGGTCATCGACGAGCTGGAGAGGCGCGGGGTTGAGCTGCGGGCCCGGGATGTCAGAGCAGGAAGGGCCCACGGGATCGTTTATGGGGGAGCCCATGGCCCAGAAGTGGGAAAGGACAAAATGCCCCGGAAACCTCGGAACCTCTCCGCTCCAGCAGCCATCCGCGGGCAGCAGGCACAGCCCCTGCACCGAGCCGGAATCCGGTTTTTAAACCCTGGCTCTCCACTCACCAGCTGTTGACTTTGGTCAAATTACTTAACCTGTCTTTTCCCTTATCTGGGAAATGGGGATAACCCACTTCATAGTGTGACCGTGGGGTTAACTAAGTTCATACCTACGAAGCGCGTTATCCTCCGCTGCTCACTATACCATCTCCTGCAATTCCTTTTTTTTTCTTTTCTCTCTCTCTCTCTCTTTTTTTAAATTGAAATGGACATAAATGCCGAGACTTTCTAAGCGACTACAGCGCCATTCATTGCTACTCCAGGAAGCATTCCTGGAGGCCAGGTTGCCACCAGCCAGCCTGCACTGGGCCCTGCAGGATACAAAGACTGGAAGATAAGCCTCTCCCTCTGAATGATAGATGCCTACTGGTATGGAAAATATTGTGTGTCAAGTGTGCTGACTACTCGAGCTGGCTTTCTGAAGGACAGTGAGTTCCAGGAGAACAGCTCAAGCAACCGAGGGAGGTACCGGCATGTACTTACTGTCCTTACAACTTCCAGGGAATTTAAGAGACCATTTAGGTGTTTTTGCTGTTGTCATTTGAGGGGTTTATTTTTATTTTTATTTTATTTTATTTTATTTATTTTTGAGATGGAGTCTCCCCCCTGTCGCCCAGGCTGGAGTGCAGTGGCGCGATCTCGATTCACTGCAAGCTCCACCTCCCGGGTTCACGCCATTCTCCTGCCTCAGCCTCCGGAGTAGCTGGGACTACAGGCGCCCACCACCACGCCCGGCTAATTTTTTGTATTTTTAGTAGAGACGGGGTTTCACCGTGGTCTCGATCTCCTGACCTCGTGATCCCCCCGCCTCGGTGTCCCAAAGTGCTGGGATTACAGACGTGAGCCACTGCGCCTGGCCTATTTTTATTTTTTTAAGACAGAGTCACACTCTGCAAACCAGGCTGGAGGCAGTGGAGAGATCAGGGCTCACTGCAGTCCCCACTTCCCCAGGCCAACCCATCCTCCCAGCTTAGCCTCCCTAGCTGCTGGGACTGCAGTCTCACGCCACCTCTTCTTTGTAGAGGCAGGGTCTCACTGTGTTGCCCAGGCTAGTCTCAAACTCCTGGGCTTACATGATCCTCCCTCCGCGGCCTCCCAAGGTACTGGGATTACAGGTGTGAGCCACCGCACCTGGCCTCTAAAAGACTATTTGGCTCATTTTAAACATGAGGAAAATGAGCTACAAGGAGGCTAGGGCCTGCACCAGGGCCACTCCACTTTTCAAAAGTCAGTTCTCCTAATCCCTCATCTTAGTTCTTCTTGAAGGCTTCTCCAACTCTGAGTGCATAACGATAAAGCCGTCTCCAAAAGATGTCCTCACCTGTTACCTGCACATCACCCTCTTCCACCCCAACCTTCACCACTCTCCTTAAACTCCTGCTTCCTCCCTGACAAGAGACACCTCCTCCTATACCTCTGATCTCCCAGCCAGGTTCCCAAGCCAGCCCATCCCTTCCATCAACACCCAACCTTGTTGGATCAATCTCACCTTCTCAGAGCTGCTCCCTCAGAGCCCACAAGGGACCCAAGTGACATGGCAAAGCTTCAAGGTGTTGTGATATACATATTGGGAATTACATTATTTTTTTGTTGACAGTAGTTTCTCTCTTAATGCTGAAAATATGAGTGGTCAGAATTCTTGTAGTTGGGAAGAGTTTTTCATAGGAACCTTCCCTGGCTTTTGGGATAAGTGAACCCCTCTGGTTGCCCTGGATCCTTCCCCTCGACCTAGACACATGCTCAAGTATCTTCCAATTCAGAAATCTGCTCCCTGAACCTGAGTGTCCTGTTTCTTTGTTTGTTTGTTTTGTTTTGTTTTTTGTTTGTTTGTTCATCTTTGAGACAAAGTCTCGCTCTTTCACTCAGGCCGGAGTGAAGTGGTGCGATCTTGGCTCACTGCAACCTCTGCCCTGCCCCCTGCCAGGTTCAAGCAATTCTGCCTCAGCCTCCCAAGGAACTGGGATTACAGGTGCCCACCACCATGCCTGGCTAATTTTTGTATTTTTAGTATAGATGGGGTTTCACCATGTTGGCCAGACTGGTCTCAAACTCCTGAACTCAGGCAATCCACCTGCCTCCGTCTCCCAAAGTGCTGGGATTACAGGTGTGAACCACTGCACCCAGCCCTGAGTGTCCTCTTTTGCCTACCATCTTCTCTCGTTTCTTTCTCAGACACACTCGGTTTTAATGGCCACATCTATGATGCTAGATCCCAAATAACAAGCCCTGACCTGTTATTCCCTCAGCATGGCTGCCTGGGCATCCTGGTGGCACCTCACAATGTCAGAACGGAATTCCTCATTTCCTCAAGACACACTTCTGCTTTATCTCATCTGGTGGCACCACGATTCGCCCACTCACCCAAGCCAGAAGCCTGGGAGCCATCAGTTCCCACCTCTCCGGAATTCCTTTGGTTACACAGTTCTACCAATGTGACATTCCAAATATCACTCAAATCTGTTTGCTCCTCCCCATCTGCACCTCCTCTTAGTTTTGGTCTATACTGCCTTTCATCTAAATATGTTCTAGTCTCCTCCCTCTGATTCCTGCCTCTGACCTCAGTTGACTCAGCTGCTGTAGAAGGCCTTACCTGACCGCCCTCCTGCACTTTGGCCTATCAAGCGCCCTGCTTTATTTGATTCAGAGTACTTTTACTATCTAAAATTATCGGGCTCACACCTTTGTATACTGGTCTGGTTCTCTCCTCCATGATAATGGAAGCTCCTCAAGATTGGGAACCTTCTCTGGCTCATTCATTGTTCCAGTCCCATCATCTAGATTAATGCCCAGTACATAGAAGTACTCAAGAAATATTTGTAGGCCAGGCACAGTAGTTCAGCCTGTAATCTCGGTACTTTGGGAGGCCGAGGCGGACAGATCACTTGAGGCCAGGAGTTTGAGACCAGCCTAGACAACATGGTAAAACCCCATCTCTACTAAAAATACAAAAATTAATTGGGCATGGTGGCATGTGCCTGTAGTCCCAGCTACTCAGAAGGCTGAGGCACAAGAATCACTTGAACCCAGGAGGTGGAGGTTGCAGTGAGCAGAGATCATGCTACTGCACTGCAGCATGGGTGATAGAGCAAGACTCTGTCTCAAAAAAAAAAAAAAAAAAATTTGTTCAGTGAATGAATACTCTAGATCATTATTGCTCAACAGAAATATACTGTGAGCCACAAATGTGAGTCACATGTATTATTTTATTTTATTTTTATTTATTAATTTTTTATCAAGACCTAATCTCAGTCTGCTGCCCAGGCTAGAGTGCAGTGGTGTGATCTTGGCTCACTGCAGCCTCTACCTCCCTGGTTCAAGCAATTCTTGTGCCTCAGCCTCCCAAGTAGCTGGGATTACAGGCATGCGCCACCATACCTGGCTAATTTTTTGTATTTTTGGTAGAGATGGGGTTTCTCCATGTTGCCCAGGCTGGTCTTGAACTCCTGACCTCAAGTGATCTGCCCAACTCGGCCTTCCAAAGTGCTGGGATTACAGGCATGAGCCACTGCGCCCAGCCACATGTATAATTTTAAATATTCTTGTAGCCACATCAAAAAGGTTTAAAGAAACAGTAAAATTAATTTATAATATATTTTATTTAGCCCAATATATCAAAAAGATTATCATTTTGACAAGTCATCAACATGAAATATGTTAATGAGATACTTCATAATCTTTTTCCATTCCGAGTCTTCAAAATCCCATGTATGTTTGACATAGTACATCTCAACTCAGACTAGTCATATTTCAAGTGCTCAACAGCCACATGTGGCTAGTGGCTTCTGTATTGGACATGGCAGCTCTAGACCTCCTGTCATACTGACCTGGCTTCAGTTGTGCCATTTTACTATTGTAAAAATAGATATGATAATTACATCACTAATCAATTCATTTTATCAACAAACATCCTCAGAGAGTCTGCCATGTTTCCATCATTATTCTAAGAAGTGAGCATACAAAGATGAATTACAAATTGCCCAAGAAGACCACAGACTAATATGAGAGAGAAAGACAT